ATTTGAGAACAGAAATAATTCGTGCAAAGTTGTGTAGAGCCTTTCTAAACACATGACTGGCACAAACCTAGCTGTCACTAGTGTTCCTGGGAAGAAACAACTGCTGGAATATCTTTACTGGATTATCACCTATCTAAAAAAACCAAACAAAATAAAATAAAAGTAGTTAAGAGAGGACAATCCATGGGTTCTCCTGAATTTATGTTACTTGTATTCACAATCCTTCAAGTCATCCAAGAATGTTAGCTCAGCATACCTCAATTACGTATTTATTGCTCTGTTTTCCAACTACTAAACTGAGTTCAGTGGAGAGCACTAACAGTATTATATGTAGCTCATCTGACAGAACCGACGCTTCCAGTAAAAAAAGATATCAAGAGGCAGATGTAGCAATAAAAGTAATTAATTTTAAGAGTAGGACACTTAACATTGATTCTACAGATTACTGCAATTCTCACTTTCAGCTGGCCAGCCACCATATTCAGAGTATAACTATCAGGAGCAGGCTAATGATCACTGTGTTGAATTTTTTTCTAAATGGAAGCTTATCCCCATAGACAGCAGTGCCACAAACTGCATCACATTGATCTACCAGTGTTTCATCTCCTGGAGCTTTCTCAGTGACTGACACTTTCTCTAAGGAAACTTCTAAAATGGAAATTCAGTTAATTCCAGCTGTAGTTATTTCCTTTTCTAGGAGGAGATATTCAATTCCTTCATGTTGGAAGTCCACTCACACCGTTGCTCACCCAGCTGGCAGAGGGCTGGATCTGCTGGTTGTGACAGCATGGAACTGGACTCCAGTGGGCTACCGATGGGTGGAAGCCTCATTAACACATCTGTTGGACTTCACCTTTCAGGCTTTGTTGCCATCAAATATATGAATGAATGAAGTTCACGGTCAGGTCTTTTGAATTTAGATTGCAGAAAACCATTGTTCAAGAAAAGCAGGTTTCCTTGTCCACATCATATTCTGGATTTCATGGCACCCATGAAACAAAAAGAACTGTATCTCATGATCTATTTCTACAGCCCAAATATTCCATACCAGCTGAAGCTCTGACAGAAGAGTTAGATCCTATGATAAGAACTTGGTTTGAAGCACTGCACTGTAGAAATAGGTAGAACAACATCAGGTGAAGCGCCATGAGTTTTCTGCTCCAGCCTGGAAATATAGGAGTAGGCAAACGTCCCTAGATGCATGAACAGGTCACAGGGTGTGGAGTTATTACTAGAATTACTGGGGAAAAATTATTGAGACTATATATATCCACATCCTAGGAGAAGTTGTAATCCTAAGGAAACTTCCAAGGTGGAATGTGGTTAGCATGTAAGGAATCTGTTACCCGAGCAAGATGGCCTGCAACCTTAGTTGTTGGCAGCACTAGGGAAGCTTGATGCGCTGACCTTAGGAGAAATAGAACGGAGGGTGGAGCAGAGTGGAGACACCACAGCCAGGCTCTGTTGGAAATCATTGCAAGTATGCGAAGTTAATGGTACCCTGTAGCTGATAAACCGCATAGCATCTGCCACATAAGAGATATATTGGTTGCTGAACGAGCAATTGCTTAATTTTATGGTAAAATCGTGTCCTGTGGATGAACTTTCCTTATTATAATACCAAAAAACACCTCCACCCCAAAAGCTACCCATATCCAAGGTACGACCACCCCTCACTGAGCATGCGCTCTATATTTTTCTACTCACCTGTACTACTGCGGACATTTCTTATTCCTCAGGTTCAAGAAGGAGAAATCCTACCTGGGGTGAAGGCAAACAAAAACTAAGCAGCTCAGTAAGGGCATGGAGGGCCTACAGAATAAGAAGATGACTAGCAGGAACAAGACAAAGCCTGAGAGGGCTGACATCAGTTTCAAGAAAGGTAGCAAGGATGAAGTCCAAAGAAGAAAAAGAGCTACTGAAGTACAAGGAAAATGATGGTCAAGAACACAAAACGATTCAGTACTTCTTTCCAAAAGGAAGACCTCACCATCAACAGTGTAGTAGCAAATGTCCCTTGGTGCATTGGGAAGGAATGGTGAGGAAATCATGCATGCTCTCTACATCCCTGCAGAGTTCATGCAGAAAGAACCAAAACCCTGTCTTTCAGCTCTGTCATCACCACAATCAGATGAACATCTGTGGTAGAAATGCCCTTATTTACATAGTCTGAATGTACATACTAATTTTGTACCCAACGTAGAAAATTGCAAGAATAGTACATTCCTTCATCTTTCAAGACTCAAAATACTAAATTCTAAAGGAATAAGAGATTTACCAAGCTTTTGGTTAAACTTTGAACATTTCCACATGAATGGAGGTAGACAGCTCTCAGAAAGATTAAAGTCACCAATGATCTCTGAAAGTTTTACCATGTGACTGCAGCACATTTTGTATGCCATATCTGAGTCTTGTGTTTTAATGTGTTTCCAAGGGAAACAGCTCAGGCATTTCTACCGCTGAGTACAAGGAGAAAAAAAATCCACAGGAAAATGAACATGCATTGCTCACATCAAATGGTTTGTAACCATTTAGTTCTGGAGCACCTCTTGCTCCAGACTGAGGGCTTGATCTTAAAGCCCAGATCTTTGGTCCCCTAGTGTCAGAGACATGGGGTTTGACATCCTGTGGAGATCCAGCTAAACTGGATAAACACAGAAGACTTTCAAAATACAAAGTTTCTGTGTGCTATTTGCAAATGTGTTTAAGTGGACAAATCATCTCAAGATGATGCACAGCTCTCACCCCCATCAGAAGGTACATGCCTCCTTGCTACAAAGTGACAGAGCCAATGCCCAGGCTGGGACATGGCAGCCCATTCCATCCCTTCTCCAGTGCAGGGCTGGGAAGAAATGTCATCAAAGATTTCCTTAGCATGTACTGGTAGGGAAAGGAGGAGAGAGCAACAGGAGTCAAATCAAATCAAATTGAATCACAGAGCTGAGCTGGAAGGGATGAACACTGAGTCCAACTGCCTGACCATTTCAGGGCTGACCAAACTAAAAAGCATAGTTGCTAAAAGGCAAGGGCATTTTCCAAATGCCTCTTTAACGTCGATAGGCTTGGGGTATGGACCACCTCTCTTGGAAGCCTGTTGCAGCAGGGTTTGATCACCCTCTGGGTAAAGAAATGTTTCCTTATGTCAAGTCTGAACTTCCTCTGAGGGAAATAGCTCTGAGCCATTCCCACATGACCTGGCACTGAGTCCCAGGGAAAAGAGGGACCTTTTTCCCCTTCCCCTCCTCAGAAAGCTGTAGAGAGCAGTGAGGTTGCCCCTCATCCTCCTTCTCTCCTAACATCAAAAACTCAATGTCCTGAGCTGCTCCTCACAGGAGCCCTTTCACCAGCTTTAGTGTCTTCCTCTGGATGCATTCAAGGACCTTCACAACCTTTTGAAATCGTGGGGCCCAGAACCACACACAGTACTCAAGGTGAGGCCACACCAACACCAAATACAGCAGGATAATCACCTCTTTTGAGTGGCTGGTGATGCTGTATTTGATGTATCCCAGGACATAGTTTGCCATCTGGGCTGCTCAGGCACACACTGCTGACTGATATTGAGCCTGTTGCCAACCACCAACCCCAGACCCCTTTCTGCTGGACTGCTCTCCAGCCAATCCTCTCCCAGTTTAGACTTGTGCCTGGTATTACTCCTTCTTCGGTGCTCCAATCTATCCAGATCAATTTGGTATCATCAGCAAACTCACTAATGGTGCATTCAACTGTTGCATCCAAATCACTGATAAATGTACTGAACAGAATTTGACCTAGAACTGATCCCTGATCCCCCACAAGGGACTGGTCACCAGCCAGATATAGCCCCATTCACTGAAACCCTTGAGCTCTGCCCTTCAGCCAGTTCTTCACCCAGTACACCATGAACCTGCTCATCCCACAGCTGGACAACTTGTCCCACAATACCGAAAGCCTTGCAAAAACCCAGAAAAACTACATCCACCACTTTCCCTTCATGCCTCAGGTAGGTGACCTTATTATAAAAGATACTAAATTACTTAAACAGGACTTTTTCTATATGAAACCCACATTGACTGTGACTGATGATTGCAGTGTTCTTCAAAGGTAGTGATAGGACAAGGCGTAACAGTTTTAAATGGAAAGATTTAGATTAGATATGAGGAAGGAACTGTGCACTGTCAGGGTGGTGAGACACTGGAAGAGATTGCCCGGAGAAGCTGCGGATGCCCCATGCCTGGAAGTGTTCAAGGCCAGGTTGGATGGACTCTGGTCTAGTGAAAAGTGTCCTTGCCTATGGCATGAGGGGTTGGGACTAGAAGATCTTTAAGATCCCTTCCAACTCAAACCATTCTGTGATTCTACTAGAGTGTAACCTCCCCTGTGTTGTCTTTCTTTACTAAAGGAATTAAATTTTCTGTATTTCTCATAGAATTCCATTTTACTGCCTTGTTCATTATAATTTCTTTGAAGCTTCTGCCCTTCTGAATTTACACAGTCATGCTGTTACTTTTACGTGCTTGAGTCAGAAAGCTTTATTCTCACTTTTTATATAATCTCCTATTCATTTTCAGATCTCAAACAGTTACTGGGGTATTCTTGCCTGCTGTTTTTTCTCGAGTTTTTGAGTTGTTAATACATTATTTAAGTCACAGTCAATGCTTTGCCTGATTTTACCCAAGGGATGAGCGGTTCTCCATTCTCTTCTGGCTGCAGTTTCCCTTGCACAACAGTAATTTTCTAAATTTATTTTCTTTCGGATTTGTAACTTTACTGACCATAATTCCAGTGAGTTTCACCTTGTAGAAAGAGTTCCCTCCATTAGACTGGGTCCTCTAGAGAATACCCTGTCCTGGTCTTTGTGGGCTGAAGCCTGAACAGCACTGTCAGTATTTTGCTTCCTTCTTCCTTCCTGACCTCAGAATGACACCATCACTTTGTGATAATTTTTATCCAAGTCACTCAAAAGAAAAAGGCATTTTCTTGCAATATAGAAACTATAATTTTATTGGAAATAATCAGCACAACTGCAAGAAGTTTTACCTCAGTGCTGCAATTGGTGTATTTTATTATAAAACTACTCTCTTGTTCAAAGTTCCACAACTGTAGCAGCTTGAAAGGTGCTTAACAGAATGTCACAAATGGCATTTTTGTTTTTCTTACATATGGAAGTGGTAAACAGGTAAACAACCTTTCAGTATCTATGGCAGTCTTTTTTCTTTTGCTATTGGTATCCTCCATTTTGAAAGGAATGGCTTTTTCACTTCATTTTAGTTTATCAGCAGGATGACTTAAATGTTTGCCATCATCCATCTCCAATTCCTTTACCTCTTCCTCCAACTCATAGTCTGAGACCGATTCAGTGTTATCATCCCAGTAATCAGCGTCATATTTGTCCAGTAAGTATTTCTGTGGTGTAATGTCATCATCATCAGGATTCTTTGGTTTTCTCTTTTTCATTTTCTTCTGAATCTTAGAAAGCTGCTGCTCCTGCTCTTCTGTCCAGGGAATACTTTCTATATGTCTTGACACTTTCAGTCTTTTATAGTCCATTATCTGTTTATTGAGCAGTTCATGGTCAATACCAAACAGATTAGACCGCATGGGTGGCCCTGAAGATTGAGTTGCTGAAGAGAATGGTTTACTGTGAAAAAGAAAACAAATATTGGGGGGTTTCTCTCAGTGCATATTTCAAGGGGTAATTTTGACAACTTGAGTAATATGGAAATAAACTGGAGTTTTCAGTTTTACTTTATAAATTCCCTGTGTTCAGCACTGTGCTACCCATGTTAAGAAGGAAGGGATACCATTGTATCATATGTCCGAGGATAGTCTGTGTATAAGCCTGTCAACAGATTTAATGGGGGAAAGCCAATAAAACAATGACATTCCAGATGAAACTGCTTGTCTCTTGAAAGAGGGGTACACAGGTAACAGAGTGAACACTGGACCTGGGAGCCCCAAGGAATTTAAGACTTCTCCCGAGCTCTTCCAAGAAGTGAGAAGCAGCAGCCTGTGCCCAAAAGACATCAGACCCATGTATATATGACACCTTATGCTGGACTTCAGTATTTCCACAAGACACAGAGGAAGATGTTAGGTGCCATGTGGGAAATCTGTCAGCAATGACTTCCCACTGGAAGCTATTTCTGATTTGCCCCTGATGAACCATCCTGTGAGATGCCGGGGCCCAGAAGGCATTTCTACCAACAGACTGCAGCACCCAAGTACAAAGGCTGTTGGCTTTGAGAGCATCCAGTCCACAAAATCACTATTCCAATAGACTGTTTAGCCCTATCTCTCAATAGCCAAAAATCCCTCACAGAAGAATGCTAAATTAACTTAGGGAGATTAGTCAGTAAACTTGTAACTCACGTATAACACACCAAACTTATATCAGAAAAAAATGGCCAAGTAGAGGAGCACTGGTATTCTTATGAGAAAATTACCAGCAAGCAACAAATATTACTGCTGCAAAGCATTTTTTTAAAATTTGATTATCGTAAACAACATCAAGTCTTGGAATCTTAGAAATTCTACATTTATTTCCCTCACAAAAATCAAGATATTAATACCAGAACAAGTATTGGGTCTGCAAGTAACAAATCTGATGACTATGTCACTCAAGGTATAGACATGAAATACAGCTGATTTCTAAGACTGTGTTCTGATACCACGTTATGGGTGCCTCTGAAAGAATACACACTGTGCTGTTACAAGTGACAATTCAGTCATTCTCCACAGTTTTACAGAGGTTTGCTTATATGTAATAAAATAGACCTTCCTTTTCCATATTTTGCAAAGCTGTGGTCAGACCTGTGTACAAGAACCAATGACAAAATAGCCTATGAAAATGTGTCTACACTAAAATATGGAAGTAAATCAGAGCATACATAATACGAAATATTTTCCCTTAATTTTAATAAATGGGTGTAACTTCGGTAAAGAAACTTAAGTCACAAAATAAAATGTCGTCCTCTACATTTAAGTTCTGGGATGATTACATAATAGTTTTGTCCTTGGCTATTCTATAGTCTCTTACATAAAAAAAAAAAAATCAATTAAAAAAATCTTATCTCTTCAAAAGATGAGATACTTTTCTGGTAAAGTCTTCCAAACAGACTCTCTCTTCTGCTTTTTATTTCTTCATAACATCATTTGCTGAACTCTGAGATAATAAAAACGTACAAATCTAATTAAAATATACTTTCTGTCATGTCAAATGATACCCAATTTAAGTCAGCCAACAACGATGAAAATGGGCACTTGTACAATTCTGATTCAAAAAGACCCACCTTGAATCATTTTCAAATATTTCTTCTTCTTCTTCAGGAGGTCCAAAATCAGCAATTGCCAATAAGTCCTCGACCTGTAAACACATGAAGGCAACACATTTTAAAGATCCTATATTAAATCTACTTTATGCACACCTGAAAGAAACAGACAAGCACGTAGCAGCAAATATTTGATTTTCTACATGGTTGAAATATTTAGCACAACCATTTTAAAATAGCCTCTTCCATCATTCCAGTAAGCATGGAACAGCTTCCACTCTTTGCCTGGGAAGTTTGTGTCAAATAGTGTAATGTATCCAGGGATTCCTTGGAAGTTTTTTGCCTTGTACATTATAAACAATTGGCTAGGGATTGTGTGACATGTAATTTTTGGTTTATTTGTTCTCTTACTTCAGTCTTGTGAATCTTTTTTCATAACATCCTTACACTGAGATTTTTTTCATCTCTTCCCACTTTCTGCAAGTTTGCATTTCTATTACACGTAATTATGGAGTTCCCAACTCCCTTTTAACATGGCACCTATCCAGTAAATGCTACAAATCTAGTATATTCAGTGCTTACAGACTGTACATAATTGTGAAAATTTGGTCTCATCTGAAATTTTTATTGCAACTTTTCTTTACATTAATTCCCTTCTAATTCAGTGCATTATTCTAGGAGTTTAATTGGATGGTCTTTCCTTGACTTCCAAAACTTAAAAATCAGGTTCCATTACATTATTTCAAGCCCTGTTATTTGAATCTGTGGTTGATATAAATCTGATGAATTGCAAAGCAGGAGAAGATGACCCATCTAAGTGCTTTCCAGTGTCATTCCCTGACAGAAGCAATATAAGGAGAGTTTATACTTGTCTTGTGTGGAACCCAGAATTTTTTTGACCACAGAAAGTTCAAGCAGTTCACTGCATTTCTAGAGAGTCTAAAGCTCTTGCTATTCTTTCCAGCCCTGCTCACACACACTGCAGGAGCCCATAAGTCACTAACAGTAATTAATTGGTTGTAATAGTAACACATGTAAGAATAGGGCACTTCAAGGCACAGAAATGTGAACACATTCTTTTCAACTTCTATTCACATCAACAGGAGGAGGCTTTTTCATTAAATTCTACTCATTGATGTCATTCTTCTCTTCTGGAAATCTCACTATTTAAGAGATCTCGCTTCACAGTCCTAATGACAGCAAATTTCTAGGAAACATCATTGTTCTAGTAATATTTCAAGTAGTTAAAACTATCAACACCTTGACAGAAAATGTGAAATAGTAAAGATAATTTTAAAAGCAATGGAAAAAATGTAGTATGAGTAAGCTTACATCCCCCATGTAAAGATCTGCACTTCCCTAAAAACATTTTAACAATTCACAGATGGAAAAAGATTGGGGGGAAAAAATAAAAATAAACAAGTCGCTGGTTAGAGTCACTGGAATTTTAAATCACGTAACATTTAAAATGTGGAAGAAAGCTCTTCCAACCTCATTTCTATTATCATGTACATCAGGCAACCCTATACTATTCCTTAAAAAGGTAATTAAATTTTTTAGAATTTCTTTATTGACCTAATGATACAACCTACAATTCTTTTACATTGTACAGAAGCCTCAATCTTACTAAAGATTGTTTGTTAAAGTGCTTTGGAACTTGAAGAAGAAAGGGTACAGATAAAGAGTGATTTTGAATATAGATTGTTAGAGGAATTGAATGATAGCTCTCTCCTAAGTCATCATATTTGTACACTGAGTCAAAGAATAGAATTACCTCTTTCACAGCTGCAGCTTCTTTGTCTTTTATAAATATTATTGGGGGTACATTTCCTAGAATTTGCTGACTCTTCAGAAGATACCTGGCAAAAATACAGCATTCACCAGTATGAGTATCAGTAGAGCATCTCCAAGACAAGTAAAATGTGTTAAATTAATTCTAGCAGTACTGCACATTAAAGATATGGTTTGCAAAACTTACAGTCTGATGGGTAGCTATTCAAGTTAGTGCTAAGCAATACATCACTGCAGAATCCCAACTTTGAATGCATAACATACAAAAACTACCAGCTGCAGATCCCACTGAGTATTGATGACATTAGTATTGATGATAATAGATTGTCTCTATCTATAGGCACAAGTCTTTTCCCCACTTCATTTGGCATCCTTATCCCCACTGTATGGGTGAGAGCAGTGGGGGACAGAGTCCTCAGAGCAGAGCAAGACAACTAGTCCTACACGCTAGCTGCAGAAAGGACTGACAGGGTTCCCCTTGTCTTCTTCCCAGCCAGCAACTTTCCTTTTCAAAAAGTGGAAGCTGTTGGGAGTAGAAGAGAGCATTGTGCTGGAGCAGGAATTACATAGCCTAGGGAAACAGGTGGAAAGTAAAAGGGTTTACAAGTATGCTCCTATGTCACCTTCCACATGGAGTTAAATCCTGAACTTCCAACCCACTGGCTTGATAGCAGAGGGGAAGCAAGAAAGAGGGAGAGACAAAAATCTAAATAATACCCTGAAAACTTCCTGGACGCTGGACTCTGTGCTGAAAAAATGGGTAAAAGCATCACAATACATGGTAGCATCCTGAATTATTTTTTTTAATTGGTGCTGTGAAGAATTTCTATAACATTAGTCACCCCTTCTGGAGGTCTAAATTGTCCCTAGCAATCAGAATTGCTCAATGAATCTGTAAGGAGATACTTGGAATTGCCAGTCCGTTGTGCAGCATGCCATTCTGGCCTTCTGTCACTCAGACCATGTCCAGCCCACCACCTCTAGTACAACAATGAGTGAAACCTCATCCACACTCCTCTTGATTTCTGCTCAGCCCGCTCCAGTCCTGGAAAAGCACAGAAGCCAAATAAGCCAGCTGTGCTCTAGCAAGAGAATACACAGGTGGTCTGTCGCAGCCACCCTTCACTGTGAGGCTCATCACAGGAGATGCTCTAAGTATCTAGAAACCTAAAGCATCCCAATAGGTCAGATATAGGCTGTTAGAAATCCTTAAGAAATGGCACTAGTCCCTGGCTATGAATTTATGCAGCAGCCTGTTTATCCCACAGCAGTACCGTATACGTGGAGCGCTCTTCCGCAGCACGCTTTCCACATAGCTTTCTTTCTCCATAGTAGCAGCAGGATTCCAGTACACACGACATGCTGAAAAGTTTGATGACAGGGACACCTGTAAAAGGGCAAATATATCTTTAAAATTATATATATACACACACACACTTCATGTACAATGAAGTCTCTGATGGATTGCAGAAAGCCTACTAGAAAATTTCTTCTGATAACAGAAGTAATGATATTGTACCAGAATCAGCTCAGGAGTAAATCAGGACTGACCTACTCCCTGCCATGTCCCAGTGCAGCACAACTAAGCAGTTATAAAATCTGAATTATATTCGGAAGGAGGTTGTTTCTTTCTCTCTCTCATGTTATAAATTGTTTTGGTTACAGCAGTGCTTCCTGAGAATGCTGTGGCTTGCCCACACCAGCCAGTATTTTTATGTGCAGACATGCAATCCAAGTTAGACAAGCAACCCTCAAAGCCCTAAGAGACAGAAATATTATATGAAGGGTACTGCACAAATAGAGCCAAAAGACTCATCTTGCCCATGTAATTTTAATCACTTGCCTGAAGACGGAACAAATTCAGCTGGCAACAACATCTATTTCAGTCACAAATAACAAACCTTTTCTTATAGATGCAGCTATGATGCGCAATTTTTTTCCCATCCTTCTAATAAGTCCATCAGGCTTTTAAGCCGAAACCTAGTATAATTTAGTCTTTACAGAACAGCATATGTGGAAGATAAAAACTACAGACAACAAACAAGAATGCAGAAACTGACTTGGTTCCTGAATCAGAGGTTTAACATCCCTTTCAAACCCACAAATTACAGCATTAGCTACAACTAGGTTCAAATCCCAAATCTTTCTCGAATCTTGCTTTACAATGACATTTTCTTATGCTTGCCTTTCTTCTGAACTAAGCTCATCCCTCACTTAGGTTTTCTGCCTGTAATATTGCTGGTGAGTGACACAAGGAGGTAACAACTCTCACACAGCTACAAGAAGAAAAGACTCTTGGAAAGATACTCTGGTAAAACCAGACTTCTTACGAAAAGTCAAGGCAAAGAGTTTATATCTGAGTAACAGGGAAAAAAAGTCATACCAGGAGAATAACCATTCAGTTTCCCTAAGTTGTATTTGCACTAGAGTGGCAAAGGTCTACTAAGCCAAGTACAACAGTGACAAAGCTCTCCCAGTGTGTACACCAGAGCCTGATCTGGCTGCATTCTGCCACATTAGAAGCAATGCAGTAAAACTCCCCCTGCACACATCACAACACCCAGGGGAGCTCCTTTGGCACACCATGCTGACCTCATGGCACAGCCAGAGTGGCTCAACACAAGATGTAGCTTTGGCACTTGCCTTGCAGATTTCCAGCTTGAGATCATAAAATTCTTGACTGACTTCACAGGTAGTCACCATCTGTGACATAGCCTTATGAATAAGACCATTCAAGACTCTGCAGCGTATGTTATCTTCTCTCCTAGTTTTTGTCTGCTCATTTTTCATTAGGGCGTCCAACTTGGTTGGTTTATATATCTTAAAAAACGAAACAACACATTAATCAGTAGTTACACACTTGTACTAGGTAACTATATACAGTTCTATGCACTCTACTAAGTATGCTCTTAGAATGTCATTATTGCAGCTGTGATGGTTTTATATAAGACTTATGTATCAAGTGTTTCAAAAAAGAATATTTCTGTTCATAAAATCTCTGACCTTTGTGTCTTACAGTCTAAGTTTCTTAAGTTTCCTTACTATTTTGTAGCAAGTTATACAGGTTAATAAATCTCTTTTCTAAAATACAGCATGTATTGACTGAAAAGCATTGCTTGTTTGAAAAACAAACATTAAAAAACTTTTTCGCTAAACTAAGCTTTTAGAAGTTTTAACATAGATCAGTTCTCTGCAATGTACTCAAGAGCATGCAAAAGAGCATTGATGTTGGCACAGATGAAAAATCAATACAGAGGAAGAAACAGCCATGGGAAGCCAAACTGCTTCTCTGGATGGCAATCCTGGCATGTTGCAGTGAAACTGGAGCACCAGTGTACATTCACGAAATTCTGCCATTTCTCCCTCAGAAAATGCTTTTCCCAAGGTTGGAATCAATGGCAGAACAACAAGTTTTTTCCTACTGGAACATAACATCTTAAGAGCTTGCACTTACCATTTTAGATCCCAGGGTAGGGCTGTCATACCAAAATTTCTTTCTTTTGGAAAAAGGAAAGGAAATCAGTTTTATCTTTCAGCAGCTCAGAGAAACAATGTATTCTCTGTGTAATTAAAATGCCACCTCCCTGAAGGCACACACCACCACCTAGGTTTTCATGCCCACAAGTAGTTTTCCCCCCAGCTGGGGTGCAGTAGCAATGCTTCCCATGCACATAGACAGCACGGGGAGGAGGGGGAAAGAATAAAGTTTCTTCAGTCATAGAACCATTAAGGTTGGAGAGTCATAGAACCATTAAGGTTGGAAAATATCACTGACCCAGCACTGCCAAATCATGTCTCCAAGCACCACATGTACATGTTCTCTGAACGCTTCCAGGGACGGTTATTCCACCACTTTCTTGGGGAGCCTATTCTATTGCTTGACCTTTCTTCCCTTTCAGTGAAGAAATTTTTCCTAATATCTAATCTAAACCTCCCTCAGTGCAATTTGAGGCCATTTCCTCTTGTCCTGTTGCTTGTAACCTGGGAGATCAATCCCCACCTGCCTAAAACGTCCTTTCACATGGTTGTAGAAAGCGATAATGTCCCCCCAGCCTCCTTTTCTCCAGGCTAAACGCCCCCAGCTCCCTCAGCTCATCCTCATCAGACTTGTGCTCCAGACCGCCCAACAACTTCGTTGCCCTTCTCTGGACACGCTCCAGCACCTCTATGTCTTTCATGTAGTGAGGGGCCGAAAAATGAACACAGGATTCGAGGTCCGGCCTCACCCGTGCCACCGTGTACAGGGGGCAGTGTCTGCCCGGGTCCTGCTGACCACATACTGCTGATCCAGGCCAGGATGCCATTGCCCTTCTCGGCCACCCGGGCACACTGCTGGCTCATGGTCAGCCGCTGCCGACCAAATGAGATCGGGGGTGACTTGGCACAGCACCGAAGCACCGATATCAGAAGAGCCCCGCGGCACTGGAGGCGGTGCCCGTAGCGCGGCTCGGGGTGGGAGGTTTTCCCTCGTGCTACTGGGGACCCCACAGCCCCTCTTACACCCTTGTCCCAGCGCCCACAACCACCCCCGCCAAGGCACGGCCCTGCCCGGCCCGGCAGAGGGCCCGCCGCCGCCGGCCCCGCACCTACTTGTTCTTGCGGAGCATTTTGCGCAGCAGCCCTGGAGGCGCCCAGGGCGGCGGACCGTGCAGCGCCCCGGCACCACCGCGCATCGCGCGCGCCGCCCGGGCACCCCACATTCCGCCCCGGCGGCGCCCGGCCCGGCCCCCTGCTGAGCTCCCGGCTCCGGCGGCGGCTCCCCCTGCCGGCGCGGCGGCCTGGGCCGGCCCGGAGGGAGAGAGGGAAGGACGGGGAGAGGCCGCGCCGCCCTCGGTCGCGGTCCAACCTGAGGCCCGGGTAGGGGAAGGCTCGCACACAGGCAGAGCCGAGCCCCGCGCCCGCGCAGCTGTGCACAGGCTCGGTGTCTGGAGAGGGAAAATGCACCCGAAGGTCAGGATTGCTGCTGGAGCGGCTGGAGCAGCCGCTCGAACACGCCTGGCTGTGCCAGGCAGTTCCTCTAACTCGCGATTTACGCGTTCCTTTAATTCGGTGTTGCATCCATGGGCAATTGTAGGGGGATGTGAGCAAAATAAATTACACTGGTGCAAGACTCTGGGGTTTTTCATTGAAGGTCACGACAAAATACTGCAGGTTTTCCAGACAGAATTGCTGTCTGTTATTTAAACAAATTAAACATTATATATTTTATCTGTATAATACTCATGGGATAATTACATGAAAAGTGATCGAATTACTGTTTTGTCACGCCAGGATAACCACTAATGGCATTAATGCTAAGTGCAAGCCACGTTATGGCAACACTTCATGAGGGATAGGAAGACCTGCAATGCCCGCCTGTATGCTTTCTGTCATTTCCTCCATCATAATGCGGCGTGTCTTCTTGGTGGCACTTCCGATGTGTGGAGTTATTATGACATTCTTCAGCTTTAACAAAGGGTGATCCCTGGGAAAGGAAAAGAAATACCAAGCTAGGCACTCACAGCATATTCGTTATCTATTTCATCACCTCCAGGTAAGTCAGGGAAATATTTAAAATAATTATTAAAAAAAAAAAGCCAAACGAAAACAATTACATGACCCAAGCATACTCAGAGCAGTTCAAAGTGCTGCCTAGGTTGGTGGGGTTTTATGCAACATATCCTCCAAATGAGTCAATGTGATTTTTATTTGGCTGGGACAGAGGGATTGGGGACCTATTGCAGTCCTAGTGCACATACATCGTATACTCATACTAACAAAATTATGCAACTTCTCATGTGCTCACAAAATTTTACTCAGTTTGAAACTTACAGATACACTCATTTTATTTAAGTACATGTCCTACCTTGGCAAAGGTTCAGGATATGTCACATCCAGAGCAGCTGCCTTAATAACTTTGTTTTGAAGGGCTTCCACCAAAGCATCCTGATTCACTACCAGACCTGGGTTACAGTAAGAAGGTTATGTTTATTTTTATATTCTGTACTGTTCTCTTACCATCCTTTTAGTCACAGTGGTTAGGCAAACAGCAGGGCTAGCCATGATCACAATGCAGAAGCAGCAGCAGAGTGTGATGGAGTGGGAGGAGAAAGCTTGGGTATGTGCATCAGTGTTGAACAGCCGGGAATTAGCAGCATGAAATAAAGTATAGTGCCAGGCTTTATATCAGGCTGTGCCACCATAATGTTGTTGTTGTTATTATTATTATTAATGTGCAACAACACTGCATTAAATAAATAAAAAGCTTAAGTAGGAGGTTATGTAAGTATACGTGAGCTTCTAACACTCCAAGCTCACTAACATTTCAGAGACTTGCTTGTTCATTTTTATGGGAACACTCAAATGTTTTACTGCGATACGACCACAGGCATCTAAATAATCCAGTAATCAGAGAATTTGTGGAAAATTTTAGAGTGATGGACTCCATATTAGAGTTGGATTTTCCCAGGACTTGTCATGCCAGCAAACCTCAATGCAGTTTTGTTTATGTTGCACCTCACCTCTGCTAATATTAATGAGAGTAGCAGTGGGTTTCATCAGCTCCAGCTCCCTCTTCCCAATCAGTTTGTGTGTCTGTGGAGTTAGGTTCACAGCCAGTAACACAAAATCTGACTGCTGGAGCAAATCATCTATCTTTTTACAGTAAACAGCTCCAACGGCACTTTCTTCTTCTTTTTTTCTGTGGGGAAAAAGCCAGAATTTAACTTCGGTACGCAAGAAACAAGAAAAAGATCAAATCGCCCTTAGAGAAAAAGTTTCTTAATTGTTTTCTTCACTCCACAGTGCAAAGCAGTTAGCTGGTTATCTGACTGAAATTCAGTAAAGACAAATGTTAAGCTGTTTCCCATAATACCAAGTGAACTGTACACAAACGTGCAGTTCTATATCTGTGGGGATGGAAAGTAAGAAATGAGTATCATGTAAATGCACAGAATAAATTATAAAATAAATTAATTTGTATCAGTTTCTGGTTGTAACGGGGATTTTTTTTCCAATCCAAAAGCAAGACTGATGTATTACAAGAATTGCCTTCTCTGGGGAAAGTAACTCGTGAAAATTGCTGAGGAAGCACACAAGACAGAGCAGAGGTTAAATCTTCAGAAATTTGTGTCAGCAGCAGCCTAATTGCTCTGTGCATCAGTGCTGATCCACTGAAACCACAAGCACAGCAGGACCTGCTAGTGCATTTGATCTCTATCAGGACAAGTCTGGGGCCTGAACTGCTTGGCTCTCCTCAGATTCCCACAAAAGAATAGGATGAGATGGGCCTGATGGGAGCAGAGGGGCAGAGAGCACAGCTAGAAGACAGTAAACAGACTGGCAAGTCTGGCTTTTTATTATCAGCTGGCTCTGGAAGGGTGAGATGTCTCTGCCTGAATCCCTGCTTCACCTAAGTTGCAGGACTTATGTCCTCCCAGACAGTTTTCTCCTTTCCTTAGTCTACTGTAGTGTCACCACCATGACAGGAGGGATCAGGGAGCCCCAACTCCCAGGGAGACCAGTATGTATTTTGGCACTTAAAATAAAGAGCTCAGTAAAAAGTGAAAGCACAGTGAAAGGTACAAATAACGTTTAAAAGCAGTGACAAAATAGAGTTGCCATGGAGCTGCAACCAGCTTTACCTCTGACTCCTGTTGTGATACAAAATCTTCATTTCAAAGGCTTTGGCTCTTTCAGCCACTTTGTAACCAATGGTGCCCATTCCCACAATCCCCAGGGTCGCTCCAGAAACCTCAGCCCCCAACCAGTCAGCAGGGAAATACTCTGTGTCAGGGGAGACTGCCATCTCATAGCCTTGGAGGAGGAAAAGAAGGAATTATGTCATTTAAAGGATGTTCTGGCATCTGGTTATTTTTTTTTTCACTTTTTGTTGTAGGACAAGCAGAAGCACAGAAGCAGCAACAAAATGTCATGGTGTTTCTGGACAAAAAGTGAATAATGCTGCACTGTACATGACTGCTGACACTGATTTCTTGCTTAGGATAGAAACATATTCAGCCTCTCTTTGGCAGACAAGGGAGGTAAGGCCAAAGCAGCAACCTCCCTTGGATGTACATCACACACCTCACCCATCATCTCTCTCTGCCTATAGTACAGATTATTGCACAACTGAAATGCACCTCAGCTTCTTATTCATCAGCAGGGGTAATGAAAGTGGCAGTGCCATAAATGTCACTGACATTGTAAATACTGAATGGTGGAACTGATGGATCAGTTGTGGGATCATCAAGACTTTTAGGAAGGCCATCTGATGCCCAGCAACCTTGAAGATACATCAAGGTTGGCAAGGAAAAGAAACAAAGAGTATGGTGGACAGATTTCTGGACAGCTTGTTTGTGATAACTCACATACACACACGGCAGCTTGGCAAAGACAGGTTTCAAGCCTCCTTGAAAATATCTCCTTTTAATCCCCTTTTATTATAACTTGAAAAGCAAAGCTGAAGTGAACAAGTTCAATGAATAAGTGGCTGTGGGCTGAGGGACAAGAGGCCTGAATTTAGAGCTGTCTGAAGAAAGAACACATCTACCTTGCTGTATATGCCTTTTTGGAAATGCAAGTTATTGTTAACAAGACAGATAACTTTTTCCTTGTCCTGTATTTTCCACATTTCTACTTTTAAGCTTACCTTTGCATCAGCACACACTTTCTGCAGGTTTTGAAGTCACTGTTTCTATAAAAACACTAAAACCATTTCAGTTATTACCTTCCACAAGTCTCCTGGAAGATGCCAGCATCAGAGCCATTCCCAGGTCTGCAGTGTCAGTGGAAACAATAAATGGAGTGTTGGACACTTTCACACCAAAGCTAGAGAGGAGGTTCAGGTCCAAGTGATCTATTCCCACTCCAGAACTTGCAACTATCCTCAAGTTCGGCAAGCTCTGGAGCAGCTCTTTGTTAACAACTGGTTTGTGATACCACATATAAATAGCTCTGATCTTTTTGCTGAGAAGTGTCTTATTTTCAAGATATTCTTTCATGGTGATGAGATGAAAATGTTTCTGCAGAAATCCAACATGGTCTTCATATACTCCATGCATCCCTCCTATACAGTCAATTAGCACATAAGGCAGTTCCTGACCCTCCATGCCCTACAAAAGCAACGAGAACCAAAAGGACATGGTCTTAAGCAATCCATTATAGTGTTTTTTTATTAAAAAACAGGAATTGATTGGCTTCATTACATGCTTTTTTCCCACTACGGAAGAGTTGGCTAAAGATAATCATTCCCACGTGCAGGAATTTTTCAGTTCTTACTGTGTTATTCAGAAGGATGTTCAATTTCTATATTATCTTGTTAATAATACAAGAAAACATTGCTTCTGGCATGCCAACTATGCTGACACTTAGACAAATGAGTTATCAGGTGTTACTCCTGTTTAACATTCAATATTTAAAAGCCAAAGTCTTGATAATTTGAGAATGTGGCCATGTGAGTGGCCCAAGTTCTGCCTTTGATTGCCACTTCTGCAACTATATTCAGTAATTAGCTCAGGAAAAAAATCTCATTTAATGTTAACAGAGCTATAATTTGTCGACTACGAACTTTGGAATTATCGACTTACTTCCTGAACATAAGTTTACCCTTTCTTTTTTGGGTCTCCTTCAGTGTCCTGACAACTCTTCACTCTGCCGACTCCGGAAAGAACCACGTCTGTGACCACAGGTTAAAGACGAGAGACCCGCAGCTGCCCATCAGCCCAAGGCAAGGCGCTCCCGCACCGCTCCCACACCGCCGGGTCAGCACCTCCCGCTCCTCCCCCGACCTCACGGAGAGTATTCCCGGTCCAGGGCCGGTCGAGCCCTGGCTCGAGGTGTTTGCAGCTGTCCCGGCCGGCCTGCCGGTGAGACTAAAGATACGAAGGAGCTGGAGCGGGAAGGGAAGGGCTCCGTCCGGCCCTTAACGACGGGGGGTCGCAGAGGACCGCGGGAGCCCCCCGTGCCCAACGCGCTCGGTGCTACCGACGGTGCCACCGGGACCCCCCCGTGGGGCCGCGGCCACCAGAGTCGAGGGACCTCGGCGGCCACCTGGCAGAGGCGCTCCCGGTACCCCGTTCGGGGTCCCGCAGTCCCGCCGCAGGCTCTCACTCACCCTGCTGGCCCCGCTCGCCGCCCGCGCGTCCGGGCCGCACCCCCGAAGAGCCAGGGCGGAGCGGGACTCGCCGCGCCCAGCCGGGACTGCCCGGACGCCTGCACCCCCGCCCGGGCCGAGCGGGGAGGAGAGGCCGTGCAAGGGCGCGGGAGCTGCACTCCAATCCCTCGGGAAGCCGAGAGACAGCAACGGGAGTTTGCAAATGGTTGTGTGGTTTTTAAAAAGCGTGTCGTGTTTCTGCGCTATTTGTGATTTCAAAATAAAAGGGATTTTGCATTAATGCGCAACACACTTTTCCCCCCCACAGTGTCTTCAAAGGCCAGCTGTGGTCTGGTGTCTCTGTTGGTCATTACACATAGTAATTGCACAGGAGTTAATGTGCGATGAAGAGTTGTCTCTGACCGGCAAACACCAGTGATAGCTCTCATCGCACACACAAATGTTTTTTCCAACCTAAATGATTCTCGGAATATCCTCAAAACCTCTCTTTGAGAGTAAAGCAATTGGGCTAGGCTTAGGTCCTTAGGCACTACAGCTCTTACCCCAGCCACAGGCAGTCCTGTGTGTATCCCAGCTAACAAATGCATGAAAATTTTCCAGACAAGGTTACTTGCACTGTAGATCATACATTGTTTTGAGTTGGAAGAGACCTTAAAGATCATCTAATTTCAGCCCTCCAGCTGTGGACAGGAATGCCTTTCACTAGACCAGGTTGCTTGAAGTCTCATCCAACCTGGCCTTGAACACTTTGAAGGATGTCCCTCAACCTCTCTGGGCAACCTGTTCCAATGCTTCACTACCCTCTGAGTAAAGAATTTCTTCCTAATATTGAAACTAAACTTAACATCCTTCAGCTTAAAGCCATTCCTCCTTGTTCTATCAGTACATGCCCTTGTAAGAAGTCCCTCTCCAGCTCTCTTGTGGGCCCCTTTTAGATACTGGAAGGCTGCTATAACGTTATCCTGGAGCCTTCTCTTCTCCAGGCTGAACAACCCCAACTCTCTCAGCCTTTCCTCATAGGAGAGGTGTTCCATCCCTCTGATCATCTTCATGGCCCTTCTCTGGACTCACTCCAATAGGTCCATATCTTTCCTGTGCTAGGGACCCCAGATCTGCACACACAGCACTCCAGGCGGGTCTCACGAGAGCAGAGTAGAAGGGCAGAGTCACCTTCCTCAACTTCCATCCCTGGAGATGGAGGCTGGGAAGCACAGCTTCAGTACTGGGTTCACTAAGGGTGTGTTGAAGTGATCCTCCTTGCTGATTAGCAGCCACTGGAGAGGAGGCCTAGCTTCTGTGATGACAGCAGCTCAGGAGCCGGGACACAGCACTGCTGTGGGCACCAGGAATCCCTTTCCTTCCTTCCACACTAAGAAATAACCAGCCATGGGGTGCTGCTGTGTCTCTCCTGACTGCTGTAGTGCTTTTAAAAGAATGGATTACAAAATCCCATCATCTTGAATTCTACCAAATACATTTTAATACGCTGAACATTAAGGCAGTCAAGATTAATACCAAATCCTCTATAAAATTACAAATAAAAAGATAAAATATAATAACATTTCGTAGTAATCATATAAACCCACATATTGTTCTTGTTATCCTGGTAATGATTTTTTAGTATGATTTGCTTACATGAATTTCAAGTTCAGACATTTAAAGCAAAAATTCATTAACTAGCAAGTAGGAAAAATTTACTAGCAATTAACTAGCAACTAGTAAAAATTCATTAACTAGCAACTAGATTCTTAGTTAAGTCTACTTGAATTTTCTTCCTTAAAAAAACCCGAACAAACTATAAAATGCTTACACATTACCTGTTTCATATCCAAAACTTCCAAACTGCTTTGCTGATAAGATGTAATGGGTGATCTTTTAACTTACTGCTCACTGCTACCTGAGATCAAAGGACCACTGTAAAGTCCCTCTCAAAGTTATTCTCCCTATGAATTGAGAATGGAGGCCTATCTACACATTTTAGTTCTGAAGGAAAAAAAAAACCACTGAAAGCACAACATGGGAGTTTTTTCCTTTGTATATCAAATCAACAAATTTGAATGAACAAAATGAAGGAACGATTTGTTAGAGGAGCCAAAAAATAATAATTAAAGGAATGTTACTCTTTTTTAAGCAAAAATCCAGGACATACCTATCAAATGTGAAGAAAATGGGTGTGTTACATGGTTAGATGTGGAGAGAATCAGATGGCTTCAAAGTTTTTTTGTGCAACTTGAACATCTAATTTTAAAGCTATAGTTCAGGAGCTGATACATCTCTATTGGAGATATATCTGTATAGCAACATATGTGACAGAAGAAGACAGTTGTACCAGAGCACTACCATGTTCTAAGTATATTTAATTTATAGAGTACCTTATAGACCTCCACGTAGTCTGTTCAGCTAAATCACATTGTGTTTCTGTGTGCTATTAGTTTTCTATAATAGAAAGGGATCTGTTATACCAGCATTGTACAGAGCACTCTGAAATGGGTCTGTGGCTATGTGAAGTGTTGCATAGTCTGTGAACTTCATCCCATCATTAAATATTACCACTGGTGTCCATGTAATCCTGCAGGGTGAGCTGATGCCTGCAGTGTTAGTAAGGTGCTTGCGCAATAACCGTTTCTTAGGTTTAGGCTTTTGAAGTATTGTGTTACCCTTAAAGACTTTCATGCATTTCCCAGCTGGGTTGTATAGACTAGCTTAAGCATGAAACTGGACAAGGACGTACATTTCCTCTGTCTACATTATGTGTAGGCAAAAAAAACAGGCAGGAAATCTATATTCATAAGCTTGAAATAGGTTTGTCTTAAGGGAAACAACATAAGAATAAAAACCTTTAGAGCTGATAGGGGGGAAGAAAATAATAAAAAGAGACGTGTTATCCTTTCGCACATCAACTAGGGAGCACTTCACTGGGCATGGGGAGACCATTTAGAGCTGCTAGTATGTTTTCAACTGCTTCCTCTGTTATCATGTAAGTGGCCTTGTCTGTTTTAATGCCGAGGTGAGGCGTTATAATGACATTCTTTAATTTTAACAAAGGATGATCTCTGGAAAAAAAGAAAAAAGAGTTGTTATCTATTGTTGTTCATCCAAATATAGAGGACTCCTACTTTAGCTTTTGCACTTTATTCAAAGTTAATTTGATATAACAAGTCCCACTTAGAACCACAGAACCTGATCACCTGTGCTGAAGTAATTTTGGACTGTAAGAGGACACGTTAAGAGTTTACACTGTGCTCTTTTCTCCAGAAACAGATTTTTGCCATTAGGCAGCAATTCAAACTATGTCAGAAGAGAGGATTAAGTCCTCCTGACATATTCACACTACACAATGGTCTGAGCTTTAGTTATTCATTCCCACACAGGCATAACAAGACCAAACTCCTCCCAAACCCAAAATGCAGCCAGTGCAATTAACTCTGAGAGGCACCATCCTCGTAGAGGCATCTTTTAACAAAAGCCAAGCAGCCTCTGGGCCCAAGAGGGCTACAGTACTTCAGCCTCATATTGTGGAAGGAAGCCTGTGGGGAAGAACATCTGGGGGCAATGCAACAGGTCTCAGAAGAGATGGCTGAAGCAGCTTTCACCCATTCATGGCAAGTTGCACCTTCTAATAAAGCAATCTGCAAGTGAAGCACTGCTGCAGCTTCACGGGGTGATTCTACAGAGGTGGTCTAATGCTCTCCCTGCCTCCTGCTGTTTTCTGGCACCCAGGCTACCCCTTGGCCTGTTATCAGCCCCAACATCTGGTCTGCATTCCATTCATATTCATGGCACTTTTATCCAAACCCCCATCCCAGGGAGCACGGTGGCTGCCTCAACCACATCCCTGCCTGCTGCAGGGATATCTTCAGCCTCGGCAGGGCTCACCCATCCTTTCCAAGAAACAAGCAGAGATGACAACCTGGGCAGTGGTTCTGGGTAGGTTACATCCAAAGCTGCGGCCCAGATAACACCAGTCTGCAGAGCCATCACCAGCGCCTCTTGGTCAACTACTGCACCTGGTTTGGAATAAGAGTGTCTCTGAGTGCAACTTGTGTTGCAGGTAACGAGCTCAGAGTGAAAGGAGAATAAAAAAGGAGAGAGAGGAATTTTTGCCATGCCCACTCTGTCCTCGCTATGCGCACCACCTGCACAGTGGCTGCAGCTGGCCCATGCTTTCTGGCCAGCCAACTGTTCTGGACGGTACCTCGGCTGATGTTAACCAGAGTAGCTGTGGGTTTCATTAGCTCCAGCTCTCTTTTCCCAATCAGGTTGCGTGTCTGAGGTGTCAGGCTCACTGCCACCATCACAAAATCTGCCTGCTGGAGTAAGCTGTCTATCTTTTCGCAGTAAGTAGCACCAACAGCTTGTTCCTCTTGCGCTTTCCTAGTGGGAGGAAAAGTATTTCAGGGCATCAGTCATGAAAATATTCTCTTCATTGATGTCACCACTATACAAACTAAAGGATCTGATTATCACATCCATGTAGCAAACAGGTGGCAAATTTAGGCTCAGCTGGATGTTTAGACCCTTCTGGAAGGCTTCAAGCCCTACAGCAGGGGATGGATTGCATGCTTGCCTCTCAGCCACTGCAGTGCAGAGTCCAGGGGCTTCTTATAAAGTCTGCAAATTGATTAAGGCTAAGCACTGGAGCAGATGGCAGCACATGGTCCATTCTCC